GATGGGGGCGGGATGTCAGGGAGCATGGAGGGAAACAGCTCTCCGGAGCAGGCTGCGTCGAGAGAAGCGGGAGCACTTCAGCCGCTGGAAGCGTCGACAAGCAGCAGCGGAAGCCTCACGGCAAAGCCCGGCTCCACTCGGACTAGGAAACGCTGCCTTGCACAGGCACAGTGCCGTGTACTTTCACTCTCTGTATTGAGCTGCATACTTGCTGATGTGCTAGTAGATTCGTAAGATTACAAGAGAATTTGGTTATTAAAAGCTTGAGACACAGCTTTTTTAAATTCCTTCCAAGCTCCTAAAAATCGGTATGCTGCACAAACAAATCCATTTATTAACAAAACCAAATATGAATCCAAAATGCCACCAAAAAATCATAAGTAGCCCACAATTTTTATACACATGGAGTGCAAAATTGAAAAACACTATTTGATATTTCTCATTTGTATTTTGCCCACTGTAGAGGAATTGGGTTTTCAGAAATACCTCTTCAGAAATACCTTTCCTCCCTCCCCATAGACCTGAATGCATCATGAGCCAATACAGCTGTTGAATAAGGGAACAATCAACCACGAACACCTCCCAGGACTCTTAATTCAAACACCCCAAGATTCCTCCAGAGGCCAAATCAGCAAAATTAATTTGAAATAGATCAACCAGAGAGACTTAGAGCAGCAGGACTGAACCTCAGGCCTAGATAGCATTTTGTAAACGTAGAAGTACAAAGGGTGACCAATCTCATGGACCATTCTTCCCCCACACCTGCTTACTTGAGCTCCATGGGCTAACCTGGGAAGCTTCTAAAAGAAAAGAAAAATGGCTCTGTACTGATTTGCATTTTCACACGAAGTGAGAATGTGAAGCTGTGAACAAGGAGATTGACTACATGATAATGAAAAGGGATGCAGAAGGCAGAGTGTGCTGGTTTGGGCTGATAGAGCTCATTTTATTCACAGTGACTGGTACAGGGCTGTGTTTTGGATTTGTGCTGAGCACAGGGTTGATAATACAGAGATGTTTTTGTTATTGCTGAGTAGATCTCACCCAGAGCCAAGGCCTCTTTTGCTTTCCATGATGCCACACTGCTGAGGAAGCTGGGGGTACACAGGAGGCTGGAATACACAGCCAGGACAACTGAGCAAAGGGATATTCTAGACTACATGGCATCACGCTCAGCACATAAAATGCAGGGAAGAAGGAAAAGTGGGATGGTTTGGAGCAATGGAGGTTGCCAAGTAACAATTACACATTAAGACCCCACTCTCCTGGAGATGGCTGAACACTTGCTTGTCCATAGGAAACGGTGAATTAAGTCCTTGCTTTGCTTGTATGTGTGGGTTTTGCTCTCCCTATTAAATGGTCTTTATCTCAACCCATGAGTTTTCTGGCTTTTACCTGTCTGATTGTCTCCCCAGTCCTGCTGCTGAGGAGTGAGCTAGTGATTGTGTGGGGCTTGGTAGCTGTCTGGGTTGAACCACAGCCCAGAGGCAAGGAAGTCACTGTTCTCACCACTGCCATCCACAGCAATGTTACAGGTTGTACCTTGAGAATCCCTCAAATTCACATGCAGTTTTTCTCTTCAAATTGAGATGCAGCCCAAAGAATATGAAAATGGAAGTTAAGCTGCAGCTCTTCTGTTGACAGCAGGGCCCAGCCACCGTCTAATCCACCCAGCATTGATGAGCTCTTGAGATCTGCTCATTATTCCCCCTCCCATACTCTGCTCCAATCTCCTATAAGCCTACACCTATTCCTTCTTCCTCTGGTTCAGTAGATTCCAATTTAAATTTTATACTCCAGAGTAACAGAATGGCTTCAGCAGAACAACCTGGGGTGTGCAACCTTGCCAAATGACCATTGTTTTCCTTTCCCAATGGGGCAGGGGATCATCAAGCCCTTCGGAAGCAGCTAATGCTGGACAGCTGTCTGCTTTTCCCCATCCTGCTGCTCCCTTTGAGGTAATGCACATGTTCAGGTCTTCCTGGTGTTTTGCCTATGAACATATCAGAAATGAGCAGCATATCAGGGATCAGGTAAGGTCCTGCTGAAATACACTTGACAGCTGGGATGCACTGGACTCCTCTTTCCATTTTGGTGAGCCACAAAATGCAGAAAATGGAGTAGAGCATACGCAATAAAAGGGTTACATTCTGACTGCAGCTGTACAGATCAAGGTGAGGTATGTATGCATAATGCATGGTCTTTGTGATACATACTTAATCCACTTCACCTATTTGCCAGCTCTGGCACACAGCAAGGCACATACTGAGCTATAAATCTCCTACTGAAGGCCAAAGAAACTGCCTGGGGTTGCACTGCTACTTCTTTCTCATCACTTCTTGCTTCTCCCCAACACATACACTCATCATTTCTTATGAGATTTGAGCTTGTTACAGCAAGAACTTATTCCAACCTCCTCCAGTCTCATTACAGCACATCAGAAAATGTCAAAATCCTGTATTAGGCTTTATTCTTTTATATAAACATTAACATTTCTCAAACAGATTAGTTAAAAATACAGATTTAAACAAGAATTTCTGCAATTGCAATGAGTTATAAAAAACAACAGATTATTTTACAGATTGTTACAAGTGCTTTACAAAGGTGCAGAGTGAAGGCCAGTGGCAGGGGACCAACCTCAAGTGCAAAATGGACACGATACCCTCACCGCGGGCATAGCGCTCAGATACACAGCCAAAAAAACAAACGAACCAAAAACCAGACAGACAAAAAAACCCCGAGCCATGTGAACCTATGCTCTTGGGATGCTCACCGGGCAAGCAGACATAGACCCCTATGACAGAGAAGACTCATGAGACCAAGCTACCAGGATACTTAAGGTTACATCTCTGAGATCAGCCATAAGATGTTTTCTCTTGGAAAATAAGGAACATGTTTTATAACAGTATATTTCTTTTCTGTCAGACAAAATATTGCTATAAATCCTAGAATACTTATGGATGCGGATACCTAAAACTTGAGCCATAAATCCAGCGTGGATCTCACAATGCCCAAAGTGAAGAAAGGATACAAGACCCAAGTGTCCTTCCGAAGCAGTTGGCACTCCTCATACAGGAGGCCCCTCCATATCCCATGATCATCACTGAAACCATGAGCAAGTACCTTGGAAAGACTTTGGCAAAAGGAAGACGATGCAAGTGGATCTGATTACACCCAATATTCCTGCAGCCTGTGATCTGAGAGTTGTACAGCCCACAGCTTATGCAATGCCCACATATTTCACTAAATGCAGTGTGTCCTCTCTCCTTGGTCAATACGTCTTCACACCCACCTTGGAACACATACCACATGCTCCAGATTCCTGGAAGCTTTTGAGATCCTTCCACCACACCCACCTTACTTAGGTACCAGGCCTACCCACCTATCTTTCTTCTATTCCACCCCTAAAGATAAAATCTATGTCCTGATTTGTTTTGAACTAAAGTTGTCCAGCTGTTAGCAAATCAAAGGTAAATAGAACTGTCTGCGAACCACCATGAGATAAAACCGTGATGCATTACATTAAAAAAAATCCACTACTTTATGCCTGACATCTTTTTGATACACAATGTTCCCTACCCAGAGGACCTCCTTGTTAAACAAAGGGCACTACATATTACAGGAATCCTTTTTCCAAAGGAGGGCCAGAATAAAGGGCAGCTCTAGAGATGAAGTCTCATAATAAAGAAATAAAAGCTACTTCTCTTGGAATTATTGTAAAGGGCAGCACATTCAAGAGATTTTATTTATAGGAAACCCAGTGAAACCCCCAGAACATCCACACTGACTTCCCTGAGCTCCTCAGATCCAGGTACACTGGGGACCCTGCCTTTTGAGCTGGGATACGCTCAACAGAGAGCTTTTGGCAAGTTCCTGCAAATTCATTTTCATAATCAGCAAGAAGAGGATCAATGGGCAAACCCTCAGCATATGCTTAGAGAAGAGAAAGATTCTGAAGAAAAAGGAGTTGAAGGGCAGGGGGAAAGGTCTTCATTTCTACCGTTTTTGAATGTTTCACGTTATTCCTGTGGGGTACGGGTACTACATCGAAACCAACCCCTCCATCTGAGCTACCCCAGCTGCCTCCTGCATAGTCTCATGACAACACTGAAACCCCAGGCTCATCACTCCCTGCATGCCCAGCCCAGGGTCCAGTGCTTTGGAGAGGGGAGGCTGGCTTCTCGTTAGCAAAGGCTGGGAGATGGCATTATGTCAACATGTCAGCGCCCTGGGAGCATGCAGTCACTCATGCACATCCCAGATTTCTGAGAGCAAGGGCGGGAGTTTCTTGTCCTGCAGCCGAAGGGCAAACACCTGTTCAGAGTGGACACTGCTCAGTGTCCGAAGACTGACCAGCTTCATTAACATCCGTGGAAACATCAAGCGGTCCTGCAGGGGCAAACAGACAGCTGTTAGTAAATTCATCTAAAACTTTGTTTAAAAAAAAAAATCACCACAACTGATGATATACTGTAATCACAATCCTTATTTCATCTAGACCCAGAATTCTCCAGAAGGATGCAGTGTGAAAGAATACAAGCAGTACATCATGTCCCAAACCTCCTGACTTTCCATGCTGGCTAGAACACGATACAGGAGAGCAGATTGTGACAGCTCATAAACCCTGCATTTACAGCTGCCATCAACGAGCCCAGAAGGGACAAGCATGACAGTACAAGCAGCAAGAGACCTGTTACAGACAGTACTGCAGGAACTCTGCCGACATAAACACAAAATCCACTTGCATCATCACTGGAGACGTTCTGGTCAGGCACTTACATTTGGTCTGTTGATGCAAATGTAAGAATGAAGCGCTTCCACATAGGTGTGCTGCAGCCTCTCTACCAGGGACTGGTCCTGCACATTCGGTCGGTCTGCCAAAAAGCAGGTTAGAAGTAAGCAGAGTGGATGTAAGCAGATTGCCATGGGCAGCTGCAGTGGCTTTAACATCTCTGCCTAACCCCACTTCCTCCTATGTGTCTTCCCAAAACTTCATCTCACATTCACACAGCATAGCTGGGAGATATATACTTAACACTGCGGCAACTCTGTCAGTTGCCTCTAACTTCTTTCTCAGTGATGTCTACTGCACATGGAGAATCCAATCCACCTCCTATAGAGGTGGGAGGTTAGAGACCAAACACATTTACACAGTGCTGTTTGGTCTAATGTTTCTGTCCCAGAAAAAATGTGAAGCTGCCTATTCAAGAGCAAATGGCAAAGTCTCTCCAGTAGTTGAGACAGTTAGAAAACAGGAACAAATGAAAACAGTCATTAATCAGGTCACAAGAAAGAAGAGCAGAGGTGGCTTCTTGTCAAAGCCCTGTCCTGGCCCGAAGCAATACTGCCTCTTGTCCAGAGTATTTTAGCTTGCCCACTAGATGTCACTCATGCTGTGGGATCTGCATCACACCAGAGAGGTGCCAAGGACATTAAGGGGGCAATAAAATAGCGATTTCTAAATGAGTAAGATAAATACTGGCTGGTTTTTCTCCACACTTTTCCAGCAATGAGGAATTCAGTTTCCTTTGAAAGTGTCACTAGAAAATTTCAGAATATAATGCTTCTTTTATCACTAGATTCTATCCATGCTCTATTACTCCTTTTCTGCTTGTTACATCACTTCACTCTACTTTCTTTGCCCTCTGACTCACTGCTGCAGCTCTTCAGATCCTCCTGGCTTTTTACCTGCAGAGAAAATGTTGATGGCAATTAAAAGTGCATATTCAGCATCATTAAGCTGTAGCTCATTCATTCCCTTTGAGAACTCAAAGATGGGGTTAATGAACTCAAACTGCAGACCTGGAACAAACAGAAGAGAACAAGGTGAGGCAGTAGCAATTGTCTCCATTCTCTTCCCCTCCCTTTCATGGAAAAGGCTGCCAGAAACCCACCACTATAACGCCAGGGAGTGGGGAGGACAGACAGGCAGGGAAAAACCTTTACATTATGCTCTAATGAATCCTCCCTTTACATCCACTACTGGTGAACACCAACAACAGTGACTCAGGAGTCAGGTTCTAACTGTAAAATGACACTATTTCTGTGTTTTCCGAAAGCCTTAAATGCCAAGCAGCATATTATTGGGCAACAGCTAAAGGAACATAACCATCAGCTATCAGACAAGTCCATCAAAACCTCAGAAGCACAACATTTATACTGTCCACTCTCACAGCATCACCTTCTTAATACCTCCTAGCCTTTATGCCTTCAAAAAAAGCTTTAATTCCACACTTCAGATTCATCTGAAGTATGTATGAGCTGAAAATACATGGTTCCAAGAACTCTGAGCTATGCCATTTCCTTCAGCTCAAAGAACTGGGAGACCTGAGGCAGAGCCTGGCCTAGGCTTCCAATCACCTCATTTGATAAATGCAGTCAGACAGAAATGCACTGATATTTATTGTCATTTGACCACTGTCAAATCAGGTCTCTTTGTGCTATGTAATCATACTGAAAACTTCAGGCCCTTCCTCCAAAACAACATCCAATTTTCCAATTTCCTGCATTACAAATGCATCAGAGAAGGAGGAACAAAATGGATGGAATGTTTCTGGATCCCTGCTTTTTGCCTTTCTAATAACCTGAAGTCTACCAGGGAAAGAGTCATAAAGAAAAGTTGTATATAAAGACCATCTCAAGTATAAATGGTTAAAATAGCTACTCAAAGAATAAAACTTAAAAATCAGCTGAAGCACAGCTAAAATTTTGGGGTTAAAAATGCTGAAGATACACTCTTCTTGTTAGTTCGTCTGAAATTACAGATACTCAAAGCTCCTGGAAAAACACACTTCAGAGATCACAACAACACAGGCTACCATATATTATGATGATAAAATGTCTAAAGCAGTCTCTGGGGATCCTCAGCACTTAGCACAGACTCCATATCAATTGAAATATAATCACAGTAATGTCATCACTCCAAGTATCCATCCCGATTAGCAAGTGATACACTTGCAAAGGAGAGAACACTGTACTTTGGATTGGTATGATCTGATACAGCTCCACCACCACATCACACCTCTACAAGCAAGGAATTTCACACCAACTGCTAGTCCTAGGTGGACACTTGCAACAATATTTACATGCTTTAAGAGTCCAGATTTTCCCAAGCAAATTGACACCTAGGAAAAGACATGAACTGAGCTGGTACCATACATTAAAAGCCAAAAAAAACACATTGTGGGGCCATTGGTTTGGTCCTGTTCTAAACCTCTCTCACCACAAACTGCTTCCAGCTGCCTACATTAAAAAGGAAAATATATAAGAACACAAGACACTGGGGAAGAAGAAACACCTGTCTAATGCACCACCTGCTTTGGCGAAGTCATCCCGATTATAGCTCAGGTCCTTAAGAAAGGTGATGCTCTCAATCTCTGGATTGTAGCGCCGAGATGTCTCCAACAACATCACCTGAAGACAGAAATAAGATATATTTGATTTGAAAGCAGGAAGAAATGTTATAACATCAATAATTTGCTGACTTTTGAAGCATCTTTAAAAAAAAACAAACAACAAAAAAACCAAAAAAACAAACCAACTACCAAACAAAACCACTCCAGTTTCCCTCAGAGTGCTCAAAAATTCTAAGATAAGGTCTGCTGCCATCCTTTGTGGTGTCTGCTTCTGGGAAATGGGAAATTCCCGTTTACCACTACCTTTTTTTTTGCATTTTTTTGCATTTGCCTCATTCCCTTCCTGTATAATCAGGCACTGCAGTATATAACTAGGCATCTTGCCAATATAACCTCGCACCACAGTAATGGTCCAACAGCTGAGGTCCTTCAGTCTGCCATCCTCAAAAAAGCGATGGAACTAGTTCTCTAGGTGGGAAATGCCAAATCTTACATCTCTGCTACTATTTTCTGGGGTGGGGTCAAACCCTCACCTCTATGGTAGATGTCTTCAGTAAAGCAATCTGATCTTCCCTGGTGAGCTCCAGGAAGCCAGGTAATTGCTTGGCAAAGTCCACTATCTCTTGCACAGAGATAATTGCAAGTTCTGTGAAGTGAGCAAAACGCTGCTGCCTTGCTTCACGGTTATTTGGATCAGGAATCTGGGGCCATGGCTGTGGGAACGAGAAGAGACAGCATATATTTGTGAAAGATTGAGCCGAAGATGAAAGGTAAGATGACGAGAACAAGAAAAGAAAATGACAGCTTCAGAACATCACCCTTTGCTATTCTTTACAGAGTTTTAGCCCACAGATGCAATGCCTAAAAGTAACTGTACTCCCAAATGTTTTACCTAAAGTGCAACTCCCCAAACTTCACTTTTTCTTATTCTGGGTACACTGGTAGAGTTTTTACCGTCACTTTGAGTCTGTCTGTGAAGGAGCGCTGGTTGCACTGCTGCTGAGCGGCCACGAGCTTTTTTATCATGCTCAGCTGTTCCGGCGTCAGTTTGTGGGAAGGGCTTGGCGGATTTGGAGGGTTTGGACGCACCACAACTGTCCGAGCCTGATCATCTTCCTGCTTCTTCAGTTTCTTCAGTCGGATCTGTTCTTCAGACAGAACATCTAAAGCAGGAATAGCTCATGATAAATCATAGGAACACAATGGGAACCACACTAAACACAAGGTAATGTGCTGTAGATGGAGAGGAAGAGGTCACAGCTGCCTGTACCAGGCATAAGCAGAATGTACACAGCACAGCCAACGGTGATACTTACTTGTTTCTCCCTCTATTCCCTACTTTAAGTTGTTCCATTGCCTAACCACACTGTCATGTAAAGTGTTCACAAAAGGCAGAAGCTCCCCTCATGATGCCTGGCAGATCTCAGAAAAACAGTGACTTTACCCCTAAAGCAATTCACTAAAATGTCATGTTACAACAGGTGCTCCCTTCATGCCATGGTGTGTCCACCATATTTTATATTATCCTATTGTTACATCTTTATTCAGTATTGTTAGTTTAACAGCTTGTGTCATTTCACCCTCTTCAAAGGTCAGACTCAGTCCTGGGTGGAGTTTGAAAGGCTAATTTGCTATACAGGCCATCTGCAGCAAACTCTAGAGCAGTAACATATCCCAAAATGAATAATGGAAGAGTAACTTTGCACATAAATGTACTGAGGACCAGGTCCTTCAGGAATAGGGTTACAAGTCTCCTTCAGTTGTTAAGTCAAAGGGGAGATGTTATTTGGATGTAACACTGTAAGGAACAGAACAACTCAAAGGCATCTGCTCTACTGAAGGCTGATGAGGTCCCTTGGTCAGAGAAAGGAAAGCACATCCTTTCTCATAGGCTTGCCAAGCAGTGAAAAGGGATTTAAACTAAAGCTGCCTAGGGACAGGAACTTCAATCTATCCCTCTCCTCTCACAGTACAGTTTGATGCCAGGGCCAGCATGAGATGCCCAGAGCCTGGAGAGAATATGCAGGTCAGCAGGAGAGCACCTGAAGAGCAGCACAATGGAATTCTTGCCACTCCATCCAGTCAGTCAGGTTCACTGGGAGCCCAACTTAAATGTCTCTACGCAAATGCACATAGCATAGGGAATAAATAAGAGGAGTTGGAGACATGCACACAGGGCATGTGACAGATATGACAGAGACTGCAGGGCAGTGATCATACTGGCACCACAGAGAGAGGGTGCACAGCAAGTTCACTGGCCTGGACTTCAGGAGAGCAGACTCTGGCCTCTTGAGGGATCTGCTCAGTAAAGTACTATCAGAACAAGTGCTGGAGGGAAGAGAGGCCCAAGAAAGCTGGTTAATATTCAAGGTCGCCTCCCCCAAGCTAAGGAGTGATGCATCCTTGTCTCTAAATTGGAATAGCATGGATTTGTCAGCTAGATCACTTGGAGGATAAAATAATGATTGGACAGTCACACTCCAAGAGTTGTGGCTCAATGTCCAGGTGGAGACCGGTGATGAGTGGTGCTCCCCAGGGGTTGGCATTGGGACTGGAGCTGTTGAACACCTGTGTCAGTGACATGGACAGTGGGACTGAGCACACCCTCAGCAAGGCTGCTGACAGCACCAGGCCGTGTGCTGTGATTGACACTCTGCAGGGAAGGGAAGCAGAAAAGGAACTGATTGGGAAAAAAAAAATAACTCTGTATCTTCAGGAACAAAAATAAACAAAGCCTGACTTTTAAAACAAGACTTTAAAAGTGCTGAAAGATTCTTTGGCCATTTTTTTAATGCACAGATAACACAGAAAACAGAAGAGGTTGCAATGAGGTGGGGGTTAGTCTCTCCTGTCACTCCGACAGTGAGAGAACAAGAAGAAATGTCCTTAAACTGAGACAGGAGAGATTCAGATTAGGTATTTTTTTAAAAAAATTCCTTGCTAGGACATGCATTAGAAATTGCCCTGTGAGATGATGGAGTCACCATCCCTGGAGGTTTTTAAAGGGCACCTGGATGTGTGCTTGGTGATATGGTTTAGTGGTTTAAGGGTTACAGTGGTACTGCTGGGTCAACATTTGGACTTGATGATCTTTAAAAGATCTATTCCAACCCTGATGATTCTAGAATTCTATAGCGGCTACACAGAAAAGCAGGCCTTAAAACAGAACAGATATATAACTGCACTTTCTTAACAGAATCATGTTAAACAAAGACAAGAACTGTAGAGCTACTGTAAGACAGCATTCATGGGATTGGAAGGATAGACAAAGAACATAACACCGTCAAACTGAGAGTAACCTTTATCCCTGACTTCCAACAGGGAGGATGGGTGCACAGGTACATGCACCATGCATAAAATTTACAATTCTAACAGCAAAGGCATTCAATACAATTACCAAAATAAAGGGGATCTGTAAGATTAGAGAATGCTACTTACAGTGTTAGTTTAAGGAGGGAAGTAATTGATCCAAGTGATTACAGTCCCTCATCTTGGGACTCCAATGCACAAAAAAAAATTTTATCTGGTAGCATGTTATTTGGCTATTAGTGACTCTTGAAAACTGCCTATGTGAAAGCTCCTACAGCATGCTAAATTTAAAGCAATCTAACTTACTTGGTTTGTCAGGAAGGAATTATTTAACCTCATGTTTCACACTGGCTTAAGAACAATAAACTGGCCATGAATAACTTCAGTCTGGGAATCAGAAGAATGTTTCCAACAATTACTAGAGGGGAAGTTCTGCAATGACCTTCCAAGTGAAACAGCTGGAGGAAAAAGCCCTCAGTTTCTGTCTAAACTAACAAGGCAAACTGGCAGTGGGGATTACAGTATGGACAAGAATTGCCAAGTTCTTGATAATAACACCAAGATTCCTTTTGACCTAATTTTCCTGAGCTGTCGCCAATACAAAACAATGACTAAATGCAGAAACATACTGAGGCTCTCTGTATCTACCTGCAACAAAAGAAGCTAAGTGAACAAGTGGTCTTATTGCATTGCTTTTCAAATACATCCGTTTTATAGCTCTTGGGAACAGGGCAATGGGGTAAAAACAGCATAAATAATGTGAGACAAAGATACTGATATGCTGTGTTTCATGCTGAAAAATTGAACAGCATGTCACTGGGATTTAATTTTTGCAAAATTATGTTATGTTTCTGAAATACCCACTGTTCCTAGCTGTTCTGGGTGCTGGATGTCAGAAAAGAAGACTTCACACAGATCTAACATTAACTGAGCACCCATTCAGTCAGTCTTTATGAGTAAAGGGATGAAACTTGGATACCTGGGCCAAGGAGGGTGGTTCCTGATATGCAAGCAGAAATACTGGTGAATTATTCAGAAACAGCAGCCTTGTGGCTTGAGTGAGAAAAATAGCAGAGAACCCTAAAGGGAGCAATGAGATCAGCTCATGCACAAACACAGCTGCAGTACTGTGGTGCTGCCCTTGACCTCTTTTGCAAGCTCACAGTAGGAAGCAAAGAAAAGTGCCTGTTGTTCAAGGAGCACGATGACCAATCTTACAGTCCTGGTCACAAGCCTGGTGTTACTGACACTTTACAGCACCATGATGAACACGTCAGTCTTTCCTCTGCTGGTATATTCCATGAGTTCTTACAAGGAATAAAGCAGGGCTGGGGTTTTCAGCACACCAGTGGCGCTCCACTAACAACATCAGCTCCCCGCATGATCCTTGTTGAGCTCTCAGTGACTTCCCACGCACATTCCAACATCCAGCCTGCACGACTCCCACGTCCCCCCTCCCCAAGCACTCTCCCCATCCCCTGCCTTACAGCCAGTGTCCCCAGAGCCCTCCGGTGCCCGCACTCACACTGCTCCCGCATGCCGGCCTCCTGGCACTTGCGCAGCCGGCACTCCTGGCACTTGCGACGCATGTACATGTCCATCTCGCACTTGCCGCCGTTCTTGCAGGCGTACTGCGCGCCCTTGATGACGCTGCGGCGGAAGAAGCCCTTGCAGCCTTCGCAGCTCAGCACGTTGTAGTGGAAGCCGGAGGCCTTGTCCCCGCACACACTGCACACTTCATTTCCCAGCATCTTAGGGGCTGGGCCCTTCTTCCGCTTCAAGGGGGGATTTTCTACCGACACAAACGGTAGCAAGGAAAAAAAACAAACAAAAGAAAAGAAAACCCACAGTCATGAAGGAAGCGTGGTGTTTGCAGCTGACTGCCCCATTCCTGACAACAAACATCCTCACTCAAACCCGCAATCTCCCAAGCACACGGATGAAAAGATTAAGTCTCCTCCCTTTTCACACACCCCCCCAACTGGGCAAGCAAGTCCTCTGCAACAAACTTACTGACATAATCAACAAAGTTTCACCTCAACTATATAAACAAATGTAGCTTCACACTTGTTCCCCTCCAAAACAGAGTCAAGCAGCCAAAACATGCCCAGGACAAGTGTTCTTCTACATTTTCAAATTACAGTTAAATTACCAGGGTGAGAAAGACCTACAAAATAGTTGAGTTGAAATCTAAGATTGTGCAGAAAGTAAATTTCTTCCAAACTCACCTCCAGTTCTCTTACTTCTATTCTCTGACAAATGTATGCACAAGAATAAGCAAAATGTTTCTTCAATTCAATAGTGACAGAAAGCCAGCGCTGAAACTGTGACCCTACAAAAACCAGACTGAGCAGACAATCCCTGTAACTGGAACACTTGGGGAAACTGTCGAGACAGAAGACAGCAGCTTGTGGAATTAGCTGCAATAAGCAGACAAGCATTACACTTCACAAGCTCTGGGAGCCTTTGGAATCCTGAAGCCATCATTTCCTCTTCAAGAAGAGGAAACTTCTTGAAGTTTCTCAAGTGAAGTTTCTGAAGTTCCTCACTCCTAAAACTGAAACACTCTCATAGTGACATTTTGTTTACTAAAGCTTGCTCTTCTGTCTCAAACACGTGGCCTTCACTACTGCTTCACATTTCAGGTGGTCTTGTGCAGCAGCTCCCAATTCTTCCTACATCATTATGACAGATTTTAATCTTATTATGACAGATTTTAGTCTTATCAGTGGCTCTGCATTTTGAAAACATCTTTGGTCTGCTCCAACACATCTTACCCTAAGCACTCCAGTCAAATGCTCACCAGTATTCTATGTGCATTCCCTCACTATTAGCCCTCTCTCTTTTCCATCCATTTAATTCTAGCTATGTTGACAACTGATATTCTAGCTGATGTCAGATATAATAGATTCTTCTATGACAGCTGTCATAAAGATTACAATCAGCATGTCTTGATAAATCTCCAGATTATGTTTAGATATACCTGGAAAACATTTTCACTGGAGTTAATGCTTAGTTTCAAGAACAAGGCTACAGCATTTCTTGATCAGCATCAGGGTTACAGTTGCATGTCTCATTTTTGTACTTACTGTTCCAATACTTCTATCCTTACTTGTGTTTACACTTATTATTCTGCTCAAGTTCCTGAAATGGTAACCAGTTTTAGGTCAGTCTCAGTATCTTGGTGTTGATTTTCGATCCCACTGACTTTATAGAGGCCTGGAGGTCACTCATTTTGGCCTGCACTTCTCATTGCAGATTGAACAGAAAGAAAATATCACCAGAAAGGTTAAATTTTTGATATTCTCCTCTTTCGTTCAACTATATTTCTCTTCACATAATATACTACCAAGTAAAAATTATGCAATGCCTACAGTTATTTCAGATTACTCCATATAAACACATGTAATGGTAGACTAACTGGTAAAACAACTTTGCTGAGGCCTCAAGAGATGTTCATATGCTTCTGAGGAATAGCAGAGTAATCCAGTGACTTCCACAGATAAATCTGTCCATCTTTTGGATTTCTTAGCTCTCCTTAAGACATTACATAAACTTCTTATTATTTTTTCTATGACTGCTTTATTGAGACAGATAGGCTTATTCTTTGATCTATGCAAATTATTTTCAATCTCTGAACATGAAGCATTTTAGTTATATAGATGAATATTATTATTTTCTGTAGTCAAAGACAACAGAAATAATGTAAGATGTATAAAGAAAGCATGAATGCCATCTCTGAACATTTAGCTCTCATTAGGGTCCATCTTCCTCAGTAGATGCCCTAGCTAATAAATATTTTCCACATTCTGTGTCTTTTTTCCTTACACTTTCATATGGAAACAATCTATCAGTCACTTTCTTTTCAAGTCCTCAAATCCATTTTAAGGACTTTAATTGGGTAGTCTCATATCACCTTTTAACTACTCTCTTTGTTTCTACTCTACTAATGGGTCCTCATTCAATGTTCAGATTATCTCTTTGTTTTATATCAAGGTTGCCCATTGCCTCACTGCTGAGCAAATACATTATTGTGTCATACTTCCATTAAGAGAATGATCCTATGCACTTCTGCTTTCCATTTTTTCCTGTTACCATCCAGAGATGTCTTCTTACAGTTTGAAAGTGTAGGATTGTGGCCATAAGCAGCAGCTTTAACTACAGAATCTCAGTTCTGTGTCTGATACTCTTCATCCTCAGTTAACATAAGAAATGCATGGAGAAACTCCTACTGTCTTCCTACTGTATGAATCTGCAAAACCCTATCATTTCTTTGCACCACCTACCTTTGTTGGACTGTCTCCAGTAGTAAAGCTTTATTGTTTAGCAGCTTTTGATAAGGCTAAAAAAATTAATTTATTTTACTGCCATGGACCTAGCCACTAGAAGGTCAAATAAGCAAAATATTCAACGCATTTATCACTTAGATAAACCCAATCTTCAGCTATCAATAACTGACTCTATTCTTAGGCATCATCTCTGAGTGCCTCAAGCAAAGAAGAACTTGTCCTAAAATTTTGACAAGTATCAGTTCTGCTTGCAGCTGAAAGAATGGGGGTAGCCTTTATCTCGCATGGATTTACTGAGAATTTTTGCATACCTGCATGCTCAGGGGGGTTATCTGAGCCAGGGAAGAGCGGGAGCCCTTCCTCCTCCATCTCAAATACACTTGCCACCCTCTTCCCATGATCCTGTGTGCTGAGTTGAGTGGGACCCATGGAGGCCACACAGGAAGGGCTCGCTATAATCTCATCGCTGCAGCATTGTTTCTGCCAAGCAAGGGGCCACAGGCATCTATCTTCAAAGTCCTTAGTTTCTCTCTCCTACTGAAAGTCAGGAAGTACCTGTGGGAAAAAAAACAAACAGATGCAAAAGAGGCAAGAGTTCAACTATTGAAACTATTAACTTCCAAAATCTATTACAAGCTGTATCACAAGCAAGCTTCAGGATTTCATTTCCATAATTAGCTTTGTTTTATCAATGTTTATACTCTTGAAACACAATATATTAACAAACTGGTAAAAGGTACAAGACTAGCATATCCAGGTGCAAAACTATTCCTTCATTGCCAACAGATTTATTAAAACAAGACAAGTCTTCATTACTGCTAACGCTACCAGTGCACTTCATCTCTGATCTCTTCAAGTGTGTAAAAGGGAAATTCCTGGTATTATAACCAGTGGCCTTTGTTAAAGCTTCCAGTAACAGATAGCTCAGTGCTACCAGCTGCCCTGAATTTTGGTGTGTGTGTGTGTGTTGCAGAGCATATAGAAAACTAGAAACAAGATTTTTCATACAATTATTTAGCAGACTACGAAACATCAAATTTCTATCTTACTATCAGTAGATAAAGACTGTGAAAAAGGTTGATGACGCATCAAAGACAAGAAAGACAAATCCTCCCCTCCCCTACAGTAAGAAATTGAAAGCCAGCATCCTCCCTATGGGAAATAGCCATGATGCCATTGTCAGGAAATGGATTCACCACCAACCTTCTAAGGACATCCTTTTTTGGAACCTAGAAACCATACTAGAAAGCATCTTCATTATACAGCCCTTACTCCACAACAGAACCTGAAACTGGAAAGCAAATGCAACCACTTTTTCCAAAAAGCCTCACCTGCACAGAAAAGGACCCTACTCATTTGATCACACAGATTCAGTGAAACTGATGCAAATTGCTAATGTAAACACCCCTAAGCTGATTGAACGTCAGTTGATCTTAACTCAGTGATTTACCAATGCAAGCTAAAGAGATTAACTGATTTAAAAAGGAACTACGTGAAAGGCCTGTACCAGTTTGAGTGACTGAGTTCAGGACTGGTAGTCCCTGAAAGACAGGAGGTGACAGAAAGCTCTGAAGCAGCCCAGATACAAGAGCCTCAGGCAAGCAGGGGCATGCCTCACAACTGTAGGGCTGACCATGAAGAGGCAGAGAACCACTGTCCCAGGTCCCTTCTTCCCTCCTGGATATTTAGACCAGACCACACAACTTTTCTGAGAATGTCAAAAACAAAGATGAAAGCAATGTTTCCACAAATGAACCCCCTTCCAAAACTCTGAAACAGTCATGAAGTATAAAAGCAAGTCACACTGTCAGGCCTGCTGATCTCCTGTCATCTCCAATGACACTGTGGATACAGGTATTAAAACCCACAGGGCACATTAATTCACGTGATATTTGTAAACACAGCTTCAGACTGCATGGAGAATTCAGAGTTCCCTTCCCTGAGGGAGAAATAGACTGCCTAGGATAAAAGCAGTGACAGAAAATATGGAACTTAAACCTACCGGCAGAAAGATGTCCTACTACAGGAAAGTACCACCTAAAAGATGTGATTTGCAACCAATTTGAAGAAACTCACAGTCCTCAAAGGAACAACAGCTACTACAATTAACTGTTTTTTTAAAAAAATCTCCCCAAGAAATCTTGCAGAATCTGAAAACCTTGTAGAAGCAGAACAGATGGAGATGTGAACTTTACTGTAATAAATCCAAACATACCTTGTATTCCTAGTCTTATGTAAACTCCTCACCGATGCTTACACAGATGTCTCTGGACATGTTTGGGCATGAAACAAGAAAGCTAAGAGTAAGCCTCTGCATCTCCACATTCCTTTAAACCATGCAAAAGACTCACTCAAAGATTAATTATTGTGCAGAATGAATCACCAGCAGCACTACTGCAGCCATTTTTCAGATGGGATTTCAAAACTGTGTGATCTGCACAATGACTGACATTGCAAGAGTGAAACTTACTGTCAGCAAGACATCTGGAGCCCAAAGGGGAGTGTCAGAGACTGCAAGCTACTGAGAGGGAGGGGAATATAAATCCACATGCACATCCAGGACATATCAACAGAGAAGCCACTATCTGTGCTGTAGAACTACCCAACGTGTTCCTGCTTCATGGACCAGCCTCCAACCTTCCCAAAACAGAATGGGCCAGATAGAAAACATTACTTGTCTTCTCTACTCCTAAAAAGAGCATTTCTTCTTTTGAAGGTGCAGTAATGTTTGCAGGCTGAGGAAAACCGACCTAACCACAAACAGCAGCACTCTGGTGCTAAGTAAAGAAGCCTACTGAGCATTTTCCTCACATGCACACAAGTGAGAGGCTGTGTGACAAGGCCTGAGGCTTAGTTTTCACAGAAATACATGAGGATTGTTTTTACGTGACTAAAAATCCTGCCGAGTTTTGTACTAATAATCACGTTATTAGAGATTCACATCTTCCCGTCTGCACCACCACTTCAACCAAAAACGCAGAAAGGTCATGCAAGCTGTAAGTGCAAGAGGGAACACTGTCTTCTTGACACAGTCTGCTGTGCTGCCTCCCACTGTCTGTCTCAACTTCTTTGGTTTTAGAAACCAGGACTGTCCATGTGACAAAAGATGAAGCAATCACTTCTCTCAAATGCAGCATCTTGAAGAGAGTAACTTGATGAGCAGACATATACTCCAGTGAGAAAACGTGTAAGGACAAAAGGCTGAGGGAAAGAAATTTCTGCTAGCCCTTGCTGCCCATGGCTCAAATTTGACACTAAACACTTTTGAAATGTTGCCATCAGCTCCACCCTACTCCATTTCCTCCATCTCCCCCTCTTTCTCAGAAAACAGAACAACTCAGATACTGATGGTCTCCACATCATCACTCTTGCAAAAAAGTACTGCTTTTTTCAGAGGCTAAAGATGGCAGTCCTGGCTCTTGCCCCTCATGCTAAATGCCAGAAACATTCATCACTTCCCCCAGCAACAATCACATCCCATTCCCTCAGTCCTCTTCTAAGCCACCTGAAACACTTACACATTCTTCTGAAGACTTTGATCTGACCCGTCATCAACAGACTAAGCTACAGAATATACCATCCTATTGTCCCACATTCATTGAGGACAAGTAAATGAGATACCATTGGGCCACACAAAACAAAGAATTGAAAACAAATGCAATTACTGTGACACTTCCACTAAAGAGTGCTGTCCTCTCCCTGGTCTCCTTAGTTTGGCACTTTCTGTGAGGAGCTTAAGGATCAGGAACCAGACCAGATGCAAGCACATCTCTGAAGAAACCATATTGTGTAACACATGAATAATCAGAGGAACAGCACAAGTCCTTTACCTCCAAATAATGGATGCTCAGAGGAAAGAGTAAAAGGAAAGCTTTTTAGGAATTTTGTTCAAGTCTCTGTGATCCTTCAAAACAGGATTTACACATCACAGTCTGGCTCTGTAAATTACAATAACCTACAGTTTCTGCCAAGGCAAACATATATAGCTATGTTTCGGTTCTGTAATGAATCACAAGCAGGCACTCTGCAGCGTGTCAGCATCAGCAGAACAGACCTCATGCTTGTATACATATACTAACATGACTGTGCTCACTGTGTGTCAACAGGACAGCAGCTCTCTGCATGGGCCTTAATAGGCTGTTGGTGACCAAATACATCTGACAGGAAGGGTTATCTTTCAGAGATAACTCTGAAAGCAGAGATATAATTTAGCATTTTGGCTTCTAAGTGTGCTCTGCCATGCAGTATAGATTAACACTGGCTGCTAGCATTTATCTCTGAAATCTGGACCCATGGCACTGCATAATGACCTCTGCTGAAACCTAAATGCAGAACTCACACAGTGATAATGCTACCTTGGGCATCAAAAGCCAACTGCAGATCTAAATGGCCAAGAAAAAAAAACAAACTACCAGTTAGACTAAGATTTCACAGGACTCCACAGCACCAGCAGAGAACTACGCCCCTTGAGAGACATCACTGTTCCAATCCTTTCATACAGAGTAGCCATATTTTGTGACCTAATGCTTTTCCTATACTCTGTCTGGTGTAGCAGCCAGAGTATTTTTGCAAATATTCCCTAGGAACTTGGTACTACCTTGTAGCTGTGTCAGAGAAACAAAGATTGAGCCAACATGAGCTGGGAATATTCTCCTTCCTTCCTTCTACATCGTCACATTTCTCAAGAAATGCTGAAACAGATAGCAGGTCTATAAGTGAGGCAAAAGTATATGTATGACACATTTGAATTAGGAAAAAGTTGAAAAAGACACCTTGTACCTTTCAAGACATTAAATGAAATAATATTACATGTGAAAACTGTCAAAACTCATGTGAACAAATAATAACTTCCAATTGACAATGGGAGACATATCACGAAAATGCAAAATGTGAAAAGCAGTGCCATAGGACACTGTAAAGAATGATTTTGAACAGTATGTTTACAAAAAATGGATTCTAGAACTGTCAGGGAACAGACTAGCTCAACGCCCCTGCTGTAAATTCCTCTCTCAGAGAACTGCAGGGACACAGTTTGAATCCATATTAGCCATTTTGATCTCCCAGAAGCATAAAGGCAACTACAAACTGGAAAGAGTGCCACCATCAAGTCCCAAGCTGATAAAGAAAAGGAACAGCCTCCTGATTGCTTTCATCTGCTGTCCAGCTACGCTTCAGCTGACCATGAGCAGCTGTCCAAGATTGTAGCACTGCTTTGTGAGCCTTTTAAATTGTTGCCACCAGTGACAATTATGCAGAAGAGCCCTGCAAGTCACTCCCAGCTACACAGC